TGACCCCAACAACTTCTTGGTATGTACCCCGAGACCGCAGCAGATCAACTAAGCCCGAAACAACAAGAAAGGATCGTGCAGATTTAGGGCTTAGGGCTTAGGGCTATCTGCATAATGTTTTAAAAAAACTACGACCTGAACGATAAGCAATCTCAAAAGGAACCGCTAACCTCTTGAAGCCCAAAGATCCGCAAATAAATCTCTGGATCCCAAACCGAGTCCAACTTTGCCGAGCATCCTGGAGCGATAACGAAAGGCCTCAGGACCGCAAGGGATGCAGGAGACAGGATTGAGGGTTTAGGACTTTGGCGGTTGATAAGGGCTCTATAAAGCTGACAATCAGGATTCTACGTGTTGTCGTTTTTCGGCATCTTTGCCAGTGTTGAGAGTTTGGGTTCGGGGAGGCTTTGTGTTGAGCATACATTGAGGACAACCAACAGAAATAGCCACGTACCTTTCCCCCTTGTGCGCATGTCACAAAGCAACACTCTGTACTTGGGATTCACAGCTCAGAGTTTCGGATTTTGGGTTTGGTGGTTGACTGTAGGGATTCAGAACTTGAGTCCAGAGCTGCTAGAGGTTTAGGCCGTAGAGTTTAGGGTTTATGGTATATGTTCGGGTGTTTTGAGTTCAAGATTTTGCTGTCGGGGTTCGACCACGAACGGCCGAAGCTTGCCCGGAAACTCCTTCTTCCAAGGACCTCCATTTCAACTCCCTTAACAGCGTGCTTTCTTCAGGGGCCTTATGGGGGTAATATGCGGTCTCCCCACTAACCTAGGAATAAAAAGGCCTCGGTTTTTGGTATTGGGTAACTTTATAAGGAACCTAGGACTAGAAAACGGGAATAAGGGTACTACTGGGCATCCTAGAAGAACTTGCCATAATCTTCCCTTCTGCTCGCTTTGTCACAGCAGTACAACATATCACAAAACCCTGCGCTGGTTCTTGAGGCCCCAAGAGCTTCCATGTTTAGGGTAGGGTTCCTTTAAGGGATCTATAGGGGTTCCTTACAATTATAAAGGGATCTATAGGGGTTCCTTAAAGGGATCTACAGGGTTTAGGGTTTAGGGTACTACTTGGAGGATCATGGGACTTAGTAAGTAAGTTATAATTGGGGTTATAAGTCCCCTAAGTGGGGTTATCCTAACCTACCTATAACCTTACTTACTAAGTCCCATGAGCCTTCAAGTAGGGGGTTTGAGGGTTTAGTGTAAAGGGTTGGGATTCAACGTTGACATGAGGCTACCTGGAGGGGCCGGGGACGTATTAAGTCGTTATAAATAGGGTTATGATTGGGGTAACTCCGTTTAGGGTACTTATAAGTCTACGTATAACCTACTTACTAAGTCCCCTGCCAAGTACAAGCAGTTCAGGTTTCAAGGACTGCATGGAAGTAGTGACTCAGACGACTTCTGAAGAATCAGATGGCAAGCTGAGTTTGACAAGTGGGTGGTTGTCAAAATAAGGGTTCCTTATTTGGGGTATCCTAAATATTAAGTGCCGTACTATATTAGGGGCCCAAAGAGGGACCATAATTTTGACAACCACCCAAGTGGTTCCGAAGAGCTGGGATTCATCGTGAGGTTGATCGTGGAGACGGTATTCGGGAACGCAAGGTCGAATAGGAACAACTATTCTTGTCTTCTGTGGAGAAAGCATGTCTGACATGCCCTGACTTGTGCAGAGCATAAGATGTCTATGTGGATCCACCGTTACCGAAAATCTTCAAGGTGGAGCAGCGGCAGCTGTGACTGCAATTGCCTCGCTGTTGCCGCAATATTTGCAGTCGAAGAAACAAAGCAGTTGCGGTCCTGCAGCATGTCTTTGCCGGCTAAATCCGCGAAGCTGCAAGTTCTGCTTGCGGAATGAAGTTGATCTGTGACGCCAGTACCAATACTATAGGGGCCTGAATCATTAAGGCCCCTATAGTAACGTCGGATATCTGGTTGTCGCGAAGGTCAAGGAACTCCAGATTGCGGGACTCTCCCAGGGCTGCTCAGAGGGATGCTATCATTGCTGGCGATGGCCTCTTCGGATTAGGGATTAGGGTTTAGGAGTTAGAAGCAGTTACCAGTTCCGTCCCTGCTCTCCCCATCGAAGGCTCCGGCATGGCCTGCTGCTTCCAATCCTGGCATTCGGTAATTGCCTCAGTTCTCTTGCTCAGAGTGCAGAATCTTCGCGACTGCCGAACTCTCGTGGCCTAACGTTCAAGCCTGCTTGGCACCGGGCACTTTGCTTGGTGCGTGAGTGTGCAAAGGCTCTGAATCGACCATGGAGCACCTGCTTAGTGGAACAAACCTGCAGGCTGGACAGGCCCTGACTTTCTCGGCGCGCCTGTACCTGCGACCGCCTCATTTCGACTTCGTTTGCATTCGTGCGGCACTTGCAGTGCCGCAGGAGTGCACAAGAAGCCGAAGTGAGGCGGTCGCAAAACAAGGATCCACACCCGCATCCCCAATGCCGTTGTGCCGAAACGAAACGTCGAACTTCTCTAGCTCTGCTTCCTGGCGACGTGGGCAATGCAGTGTGCTTCGCGCAAGCTTTAGCAAGTACTCAGCACGCGCCAGTTGGATGTCAGCATCAATCAAGAAACCGACGAGGGAACTGGACCATTTCAGGTCATACTTTTTGGCGTAGCAGTGAAGGTGGCCGGGCTACGAGTTCGTCAGCCAATTGCCGTGGGATGCTAGGCCTGTTCAGAGCCTAACGAAGACCGGAGCGAGTTGGTCGAGCTTAGAAAGGAGTCATACAATCTAGACTGACACATTCACAGGCTCTAGATTGAAATGGCTGAGGCGTAACAGGAAGCAGCGAGCACTGCCCAACTCACCGGCAGAGAATCGGCAGGCACTCAACATCCCCGTCACCATATTGAACTTAGGCCCCTAGCAAAAATCATAATTTCAGCTGTTTCTTAGGGATTATGATAACCAAAATCCAAACTTATTACTAACTACCCCAAGGTCAAGCAAGAAGCAGTTCTGCAGTACCGGAAGGGCACCGGAGGGCCTCCAACCCGAACCCGGCTACTCCAATGTCCCTTGATTAAGGAGTATACCTTAAACTATAGTAGGATCCCTAATATGATTTGAGGAATATTCCTTAATTCGCCTCGGCCCCGGCCGAAGCGGTCAGAGGTTCCTATTCGGATTCCTTCATTCCCCACCTCTTAATCCCCTCCCCAGTGACCCCACCTGGCGCGGCTCCGCCCCCCCCCTAAAAAATGGAAACCCGTCGATGAGCCCCAAGGTCCGGCGGTGAATTCTTGCTTCCTCCAACCTAATAAACCTGGTTACTAAGTCTCATGATCCTTTAAGCAAGCTCCATCCGCTGCGCTATACGAACCCCAAAAGGGCTGTAGGGTAACCTGATGTGTAGTGCAGCAGGCTACACAGTTGGAAAAACTTTTCTGTGCGCACGCACCTAAACCCGACAGTCACTTCGTGTTGCTATGAACATTACTTTTACTATAAGTGCGATTCCAACTGTTATTTTTTTCCTACAAGAGCTTGCTGCAGATAGTAGCCACTCGCCGCGTGCGCGTACAGCCGGGCCGAGGCGGACGACGCGCAGCGTTTCAATTAAGGGACACTGGAGTCTCTGGGAACCCTAGAAGTCCTGCCCCACACGCGCATCGCCGAGAAAGGAACACAATGGAAAAGGGGCGTCGGCTTTTCTGATCAAGGCTGCAATCTTTGGCAGCTGGGGGGGGCATGTTATGCTCTAACGTAGGGACCTGAATGATTAGAACAGGCTTTTGGGGGTTCCTTCTCATATCTACAGTATGATATGCCCCCAAACTCTCTTCTAATTATTAAGGCCCCTACATTACTTTGGCCACAGAGACACAGATCCTAACAAGGCTACGCTGTCGACACGGTGCCAGAGCTCATTCAAGGCGAAGCTCGCAGCTTGCAGAGCATTACTTAAAGGATCATGGGACTTAGTAACTAGGGTTCCTTAAAGGGGTCCTTAAAGGGATCTATAGGGGGTTCCTTAAAGGGATCTATAGGGTTTAGGGTTTAGGGTCTACTTAAAGGTTCATGGGACTTAGTAATTCGGGCTATAAATAAGGTAACTATACTTGTAATTACTTATAGCCAAAATTACGGTACTTATAACCTTACTTACTAAGTCCCATGATCCTCCAAGTACTGGCTTTGTGCTAGCTCCTGGCTCAGTATGCCATATTTTCTGATACGATCTTATATCATCTTATATCATCTTATGCTGTCTCATGCTATGTTATATCATCTTATATCATCTTATGCTATCTCATACTATGTTATATTCTGGTGCATTGTATCATATTCTAAATGTATTGTACTGTATAATGTGCTTGCCACTGTTGCACACAAGCTGCCGAGCCCGGTTGCCTTCAAGCGCCAGCAGCATAAGGGTTAATCACAGGGTTTCGGGCTCCTGTGCAAGAGCAGTTCTCCCTGCTTCCTACCAGCGCCCTCGAGCTTTACGGCCTCAACCTACAACTGCTAAGCCCGAAAAGCAGAAGACCCAAATCACAAAGTCTTCGCGAAAAACCGAACTCGTTAATCAAAGCTGAGAGAAGCGAAGCACAAAAGCTCAGGAAACCCTCGGAAGCGAAAAGAGTCAACCCATGCCATCATCGGTCCACCCGACTCCTGGGAAAGGGATCCTCATTTCAAGAGACCCGCTCTCTGATACACTTTGCCACCAAATCTCTGGCCTCGAATAAACGCCCCAAGCCTCTAACGACCTAATGTTAAATATGGGGCCCTCAGTCATCAGACTATGGTTCTGGGATATATCAACTACTAGGATACCCAGTAACCTAAGAATAAAAAGGCCTCTCTTTTTGGTATTGGGTAACTTTATAAGGAACCTAGGACTACAAAAAGGGAATAAGGGTACTACTGGGCATCCTAGACTATAACCAGAAACAATTGGGAGCCCCTACAAACAGTACTGGCAATTAGTTCGGCCCCGTTTCTACAACATGAAGCGTAAGGCTCGAGATGCCTTCAGCCACTACCGCTCCGGGTGTCGGCGTTCACCCGAAGTTGCTGGTGTGCAGATCTCAGTACCGCGGTTGCCTCAGGGATGCTTCAGGCTTCAGAATTTCTGGGTTCGCGGCGAAGGTTTAACTTAGGGTGTGTGCATCTACTCTGGGGCCTGAGGGTTCAGCGTTGTGCCGCTGGAGGGTTCCAGCTGTAGGGCTCAGGGAATTTTTGTCGGGTGATTTCTGCGCAGCGCAGTTCGCCGTGCACGATGCTAAAGCTGTGAACCGAGCAATTCGGGACCTGTGCTTGGCTCTTCGTTAGGGTAGTGGTATGTCGAATTGATAACTTAGGAACCCCGAAACCGTGTAGTCGAAGCTCTAAACCCTATACCCTCCAACTAACCCTAAACCCTCTCATTATTCAAGGCCACGACATTAAAGCTCCTTTTCAACCCCCCCCCCCGCCCCCAGCAAGAAAGCCCTGAAACCCTTCACGACTCCTCGAACAAAAGCGGAAACGCGCCTCTGAAGCCGCCAAGCCCAAGCGCCTGTTAAGGATTTTAAGATTTTCGTGTGTTCGGCTTTGGGGCTTTCGGGCTTTCAGGCTTTGGGGTTCTCGGGTTTTAGGCTTTGGAGTTTCGGGGTTTGGGGTTCAGGGTTTTAGGGTGTATGGCGTTGGTTTTGGGAGTGGGGGTTTAGAGTTTAGAGGTCGAGGGGTTCTAGAATACCCAGAGCCGCCAGCTTTTCCCACCAATACTATCTACTTGGAGGGGCAGGGGACTCAGTAAGTCGTTTGTAAGTAGGGTTATAATTGCGGTAAGTCCATTTAAGGTGCTCAACCTACTTACTAAGTCCCCTACCCCTCCAAGTACCTCCAACCCCCTATCAAAGGGGCTGTTGATCCTTCTTCTGTCTTGCTGTTTTTTCGAGTCAACCCTACAACTCACTATCAAGATGGAGTTCACATGGGAGTTTCCGAAAATGGGGGACCCTAATATAGTACCCTAAATAGTAGGATCCTTATTATAAGGACCCCCAATAAGGGACCCCTAATTTTCGGAAACTCCCACATGAATGTCATTCTATTCCTCCCGCGGCCCCCCCTATCAAGAGGGATCCTCTCTCTGAGGTTTAGGTTGACTAGGATACCCAGTAACCTAGGAATAAAAAGGCCACTCTTTTTGGTATTGGGTAACTTTATAAGGAACCTAGGACTAGAAAAAGGGAATAAGGGTACTACTGGGCATCCTAGTTGATGGTGCCAGGGTTTGGGTTTAGGTTTAAGGCTCAAGCTTCTTGCAGGCCCCTTTTTCCAACTGCTGCCAGAAGCCGAAAAAACACCCATACCGGAAGGAGCTTGGGGACTAGGGCTTAAGCGCTCAGGATTTAAGTGAACCCATAGCCGAAACCCACAGCCTGCAGCCCCGGAAAGCCCCCAAAACCCCTCATAAAGGCCCTTGCAAAACCTTCCAGGCACCCATGTGTATAGAAACTTTTATAGAAACTTTACTGCAGCGGCCTTTATAATTGGAATAGGGTTTTGGGCTCCTTGACAATATGAATACAATCAAGAACCCAGAGGAATAATTTTGGTAGTTAGTTATTGGTTATTAGTTTGGCTTCTATATTACAGCCCATATAGCGAACCCTGAAAACTTCCAAACCTGACAACAAAAATCGATTCGACGTGTAAACCAGACAAGGGGCTGCAGCAGGGGGCGAATGCTCTGCACAAACCTTCGAGAACGGAAGGCTTTACCCGGAACCCTACCGGGACCCTGAATAGCCTACCCTTTAGGGCTCCTTGTTATGATTCATTGGGATCCTCGGAAAGGTAGGTAGGTTATTGAGGCTCCAGGTAAACCCTAAACCCTGAAGGTTTGAAGATTTTGGATGGGTTCCGTATTTGTAAAGGCTTTACAGGGGTAGGTCAGCGTTTTGGAAGGGCTCCAGACCAGAACTTTACAAGGAGATCCTGTACAGTAGGATGTTAGATCCTACTTAGGTACTGCCCCCATACAGTAGTCTATAACAGGGCTACTATTAGGGTCCTGGTATATCGATATTATGAATATTATGCAACTATTACGAAGTGGGGGCCGTAGCCAAGATCCTACCTTCATCCCACCCGTGGATCCCGTTGACAGTGTCGCCCTGAACCCCAACTTGGAGGATCAGGGGACTTAATAAGTAAGGTTATAAGTCCCCTAATTGGGGTTACAAGTAATTATAAGTATAGTTACGTATAGTTACCTTATTTATAACCTTAGTTACTAAGTCCCATGCCCCCATAAGAAACCTAAAGCGCCCCCTGCGGCTGATGCCTCTCTCGCAAAGCCCGTTCCCTCCACGAGCCCGAAAAAAGAATTATACATCCTAAACTCTATAGGCCCTGGACCCCAAAAACCCCAAAACCCCAAAACCAAACCCCCGCGAACCGAGGAGACTCCCTGTTTCTCAAGCTGACTAGATAGGGGCGACTCCGAGTGACGGCGGGTCTGCTTCACCCATCAGGCGCAAACCTGAGCTCAAGGCACACTGCTTGGCTGGAAGGGTTCAGGGTTTAGGTTTTCTTGGGGCTTAGCGGTTTTGGGATTTAGGGTTTACGCTTTGGGTTGAATGTAAGAAGCAAATACCCTTGAAGTTCTTTTTGGAGGACTTCATATTACAACAAACGGCTTCCCCCCTAAACCCTTAAACCCTTAAACCCCTAAACCCCGAACCTTAAACCCTAAACCCTCAATACCCTGCTCTATTTATCAAGGCCCCAATGGGCTGGGTGCTCAGGGCTGTCATTTTGAAGCTCAAGCTGCGAGTTGGAGGCTTTCAAGGCCATGGGGGGTTTAGGGTAATTAGGGTTTAGGACTTCGGGGGTCTGGGGTAATTAGGGTTTAGGGCTTCGGGGGTCTGGGGTAATTCGGGTTTCGGGTTTCGGGGGTTTAAGGTAATTAGGGTTTAGGGTTTCGGTGGTTTAGGGTTTCGGGGAGTTTAGGAAGTTTAGGGCAGAGTTTAGGGCTTTAGAGGCTCAGGGACTAGGGACCATACCACAGGATGACCTTGCTGCCCCGCGACGGCCCAGGTACACGCGCCAGCGCTCCTCGATCTGCTCCTCGGTGGCTGGGGGTCTTGCGGATTTGGGGAAGGTTTAGGACTTTAACTTTGGGTGTAAGATCAAGCTTGTTTGGGGTTTTGGGCTCAAGGCTTTGGCAGCGTAGGATTTGGCGGCAAGGGTATAGATTTAGCCACTGGCCTCGGGGCGGTTCGTGTTACATGGCTGTTGCAGAATGTCTGGTTACAGACACCACGTCCCAAGACCTAGCACTGTCGCCGGACCACTTCCCTCCACCTGCAAGAAGACCCAAACTTCGCCTGGATTCATAATGAGGAACCCTAAACCTACAACCCTAGACCTTGAATATTCGGTCCTGAATATCATAGGAATCTTTCTTGCAACTACGGTAGAATATACCCCCAAGCCTTATTCGAAACTCAAAATCCTACAGTCCAACCTACACTCAAGCTTTCTTCCAACTTGTACAATTACAGCATCATCTACCCCAAAGCCCTATCTAAACATAACAGTTACACTATGACATGCCCCAAAGCGCTATTCTAAGTATAAGGGCCCTGGGATTAAAGCCCTGGTCTGTTAACCCAAGAGCCCCTCCGAGGCTTCGATGGCGCCCAGCCACGATCTGATCGATGAAGATCTGCTTCCCAGCAGAATCGAAGGTTCCGTAGTCTTTGCCCATGTCAATCCTAAAATTCCGGCGTTCGAATGGCTGAGAGGGAATACACCGTAAGCTACAGGTATACGAGGGATCCCGAATCACACCACCCTGCATCCCACCGCGTGAGGCCCGTCCTTTCAGCTTTGAGGCTTTCGGGTTGTGCTCTCTTCGTGTTGCAAGGTTAACTTTCGTGAGGCTGCTTTCCAAAGCTGGCAACTGGGGTTCCACGGCTGGCACCGTCGTCGTCATCGCTGTAGTAGCAGCAGTATCAGTAGCAGCAGTAGCAGCAGTAGCAGCAGTAGCAGCAGTAGCAGCAGTAGCAGCAGTAGCAGGACGATCAGGAGCAGTGCTGCTACAACTCTTAACAGTGCTATTCTTTTCTGGTTATGATTTTGGTTGTTGCAGTTATTGCTGCTGTTTGTTGCCACCATCATCATCCTTGCTAGCATCGTGATTCTTATTCCTATGCTTACTAAGTTCCTGAGTAGCCCCTTAATAACAAGGGTACCCTTGTTCCTACTGTTTGCCAAAACCAACGCCCAAAGAATCCCGTAAGAGCCCCTATAGATCCCTTTACGGAACCGTTCAAGTTTATCGCCCTGAGCCGGGGGGCAGTGCCGAGTGCTCGCGCTGCAGTACCGAGAGCTCCTTGCGGATCGGATTGCAAGGGCTTGCTGGGATTGGGGGGGTTGAAGTTTTAGGGTTTTGGGTTTAGAGTTTAGGGTACAGGACTAGCTAGGGTTTAGTGCATCCGCGAAAAATCGAAGTTTAGGGTTAAATGTTTTTGAAGACTTTGGTTTTACGGTCACGTTTTGGTGTCCTACAGGCCGTGTAAGTTAAGGTGATTTAGATGCGGCCCCTGATTTCTCAAACTCGAATCTGCCTAGACTGCGAACCCCTCAACCTGACATCCTAAAGCCTAATCTTCTAAGCTCTCATCTCACACCTGGAACCCTCGACCTGCAACGAGTCGAAACTCGCCCAAACAGTCGAATGAGCGGGATTTTGAAGCCGAAAAGACTGCTTTCCGGAATTCGTCGGGACCTCTTCATGTGACCTTTCGGCTGAAAGAAGATCAGGTCTCCACAGTCAAGCCTGTTCTATTGGTTTGAAGCAAGGCCTTGTAAGGGGTCTAGCAAGGGCTTCGGTGAGGGCGTTTACAAAGGTGTTTAACAACGCCAAGACCTCTCTTTGAAATGGTGATCCGTGCTGGAAGCCCATTCATCAACCCGATCCATCCAAGCCGCACACACGAAAGGCAAAGAGCCTGACTTACCTTTGGTTAGTAGGGAATGGAAGAATGGTAGTAATAGTAGTGATAGTAGTACCCCATTCCTCCATTCCCTACTAACCAAAGGTCAGCTGACCCACAAATGAGCTGCGTCTGTAAGAGCCTCTAAGCCCGTCAGGCGTAAGCTTTGCTTGTAGGGTCGAAGGACTTAATATGTAAGGTTATAAGAACCTTAACTGGGGTCATAAGCATTTCAAAGGATAGTCACCTGATGTATAACCCGAGTTACTAAGCCCCACGATCTCAGAACCTTCAACCCGTATAGATCTCTTATGAGTTTTGTGCAATTGGTTTTGAGATTGTCGTTCTTCTCAAACGGCTCGAGGCGGCAGCAGGACAGGGCCGCTCTAGGCGGCAACAGGCCAAGACACAAAGATGGTTTCTACTCAGGTGCGTGTAGGCTTGACAAACAGCCCTTCCAAACCTTGATTCCCTGGAAGCTTCCATACTTAACTTTCCCTGCTCGCCCCCGCGTTTGTTGGCCCATCCAACGACGGCAGTATCACCCCCTGTGGTGTCCTCGGGTCACCTGAGCACTGTGCACAGCCAAAGTCTCGGCGCTGACTTCCAGCTGCCGGAATATAGAACCCTTTACCTCATGTATATTTCTAGTTACGAAGTCAACCTCTAAGTACCCCTGAAACCCTTACAGACTTATAGTAAGAACCTGTAAGGTGCCCTTCAAGGGAAACCTAACAAAGCCAGGAAGTCCCCTGAACCTCTAAGCGATCATCATGCATCTCCTAACCCCTAAACCCCCTAAACTCCCAAAACCCCTAAGCCCCCTAAACCCCTAAACCCCTAAACCCATAAACCCCTAAACCCCTCAACCCCTGAAGCCCTAAACCTCGAAACCCGAAATTCTGAAGTCCTAAATCCTCATTGGAGGATCCGGGGACTTAGTCTGCAAGGTTACGAGTACCTGAAATGGGGTTATAGGCAATTACAAGTATAGCTACTTAATTTTTAACCATAGTTACTAACTCCCATGTGGAGGATCAAGAGATTCATTAAGTTAGGTTTTTTCGTGCCTTAATTTGGACGATAAGCTGATTTATAAGCCCAACTACTAAGTCCCATGATCCTTTAAGTAGACCCTAAACCCTAAACCCCATAGATCCCTTTAAGGAACCCTATAGATCCCTTTAAGGAGCCCTTTAAAGGAAGCCCAGTTACTAAGCCCCATGATCCTTCAAGAAACCCTTCCTAGGTCCCCTGATCCTCCAAGTAAGGAACCCTAAACCCTAAATCCTAAATCCATAAATCCCTAAACCCTAACCCCCCAACCCTTAAGCGATCATGATACATCGTCTCCTCGTCTGCAACGGAGGCTTCCAGGGCCTTCCCAACTGATTGGCATTCCGGGTTTAAGGGGTTTACTAAACCCCCCCTTAGAACCATAATACAAAAATAATATGTTTAATAGTCTCTTTGGGTTTTATATCAACAAAAAGAATCTTATCCTAAGGAGGGTCTAGAGTTTCGGGTTTCGGGTTTCGGGGTTTCTGCTTAGGGATTGAGAGTTTAGGGCCTATAATGTCTAGTCTAGGGTTGCGGATTGGGGGCCCCGGGTTAAGGGTTGACGGTTTAGGATTTAGGGTTCACGTGTTTAGGGTTTCGGGTTGAAGGCTGCAGGGCACAATAGACAGCTGACCAATTTAGAGATAAATATCGGCTCATACAGGGGCCTCAGTGATTAGACTAGGGTTTTGGGGCCCAGTACACTATATAAATAGAAATAGGAACCTCAAAATAGTACAGGTGATTATTAAGGCCCCTGTAGCAACGAAACGGGCCCATGAGTCAGGGATCTTCCTGTTCCGGGCCCGTGGGGTTTCCGGGCGCAGGATGTTACTTGGAGGATCAGGGGACTTAGTAACTACTTGGGATGTAAGGCTATAAGTACCTTATTGGGGCTATAGGTAATTATAAGTATAGCTACTTAATTTATAACCATAGTTACTAACTCCCATGATCCTTTAAGTGGAGGATCAGGAGATTTGTTAAGTTAGGTTATTAGTGCCTTAATTGGGACGATAAGCTGATTTATAAGCCTAGCTACTAAGTCCCATCATCCTTGAAGTAGACCCTAAACCCTAAACCCCATAGATCCCTCTAAGGAACCCTATAGATCCCTTTAAGGAGCCCTTAGGCCTAGTTAGTGAGCCCCATCATCCTTTAAGTAGAACCTTAAACCCTAAACCCCATAGACCCCTTTTGGGAACCCTATAGATCCCTTTAAGGAGCCCTTTAAGGAAGCCTAGTTAAAAAAACCGTTGCTCTGTTAAGTAAACCCTAAAACCCTAAACCCCACAGATCCCTTTAAGGAACCCTCTACATCCCTTTAAGGAGCCCCTTAAGGGAAGCCTAGTTACTAAGCCCCTTGCTCCTTTAAGTAGGCCACCCAAAGAGCCCAATCTTTATAATTTAAGGAATACTTATAATAATCGTAGTAGTAGTAGTAGTAGTAGTAGTAGTAGTAGTACTAGTACTAGTAGTACTAGTAGTAGCAGTAGTACTAATCATAATAGTAGCAATACTAACAATAACAACAAGAGCAGGACGCTTTGAAAGGGAACCCAGCCTCTGGCCCGGTAAGGTCCATGGAAAGCGTCTGGGTTTTCCCCAGGCGGAAGGAGTCTAAGAGACCCCGGAGGTGCGTGGCCTCCGAACGAATTTAGGTGTTTTTTTTTGTTCGGGCCCTTTTCCGACTCTGCATTACCCGAATTTAGGGGTTTAGGGTTTAGGGGCTTACGGGGTTTAGGGTTTAGGGGTTTGGTTTAAGGTTTAGGGCTTAAGTTTAGGGGTTTAAGGTTTAGGGGTCTAGGGGTTTGAGGGGATTTAGGAATTTAGGGCTGCATGAAAATTGCAAAGAGTTTAGGGGTTTTGTTTTGTCTTGCGAGGGAGTGGGCGGGTTAGGGTTTAGGGGTTTAGGGGTTTAGGGGTTTAGGGGTTTAGGGGGGGTTCAGGGGTTCAGGGGTTCAGGGGTTTAGGGGTTTAGGGGTTTAGGGGTTTAGGGGGTCAGGGTGAGGGTTAAGGGTTGCAGCAGATAACATCTTGAAATTGACGGGTGCGGCGCCGGCTGGCAGAATGCAGAGCTTCGCATCGCTTTCGATGTAGACAGACTTCAAGTAGGGCACGGCTTTGAAGGTGCACGACCATGATCCCGAGCATGTTCGGCTGTCAGGAGAAGCAACACAAAAAAGCTTCTTCAAGCTAACATGTCTGCTTCTCTGCTCTCCCCACAACTCGAGATCACGACCGCTTTGCTGAGAATGGCAGCACAAAGAAAGCTTGGATCTGCTGCACGCGATCATGCAACACGAAAGCTTCTTCAAGCCAACATGTCCGCTCCTCCCACATATCAAGCCCCCCAAACGTGAGATTTCGAAGTCGGAAACAAAAACGTTGCCACGAAACAGAGCAGTTTACTGACGTTCCATGTTTCGAGCTCCGGGGAAGCAAAAAAACACCCCTCTACAAGCATAATGGCCAGCATGAGTCTTGTTATTACTATCGTTACTATTGCTGCTCGTTGTTACTGCTGCTTATTATGCATCAACAGCTCTTGCTTCGGTCCTTGGGGACGTGAACCTCCGGGTTTCGGGACTCTCCGAAGTCTTTGAGGCTCAGGATTTAATGCCAGGAGCTGCATCACGAGCTTTACTTAAAAGCAAAACAAAGCTGCTCCGGTTTAGGGTTTGGGGCTCTCCGGTTTAGGATTCGACGAGGGCACTATGAGGCACAACACTCCAAGCTATAGTTTTCTGTGCCCGTATTCGTATAAGCATGAGTATCTGCATTGAGTATCCGTATTTGTTAGTAATAGCATGAGCAGTAGTATTCGTATTGATGTTCGTATTCGTGTTCGTCCCCTGCTCCCGAAACAACCCCTAATTAAACCCTAAACCCAAACCCCTAAACCCGAAACAACCCCTAGTTTTGAAAAAGCCTCGAACTCCTGAGTGCCTGCCTAGGACCTGAATCCCAAACACCGTCATTTGGGAGTTTCCGAAAATTAAGGGTACCTTATTTGGGGTCCCTATAATAAGGATCCTACTATTTAGGGTACTATATTAAGGTCCCCTAATATTCGGAAACTCCCATTTCTAAAGGCTAGGACTGGGAAGCATCACAGAAACACCTGAGGAGCTCCCTATCATCCTACCCCTGCACGTCTGAACCCGAAACCCTATAACCTGGAACCCTCTTACCCTCTAGCTACAGCCTCATAGCCCTAAAACCTATAACGCTAAGCACCACAACCCTAAAATTATACCCGTATATCCCTATACCCTAAACCCCAAAAAAAACGCCATCCTTAAACCTTAAACCCTATACACAAACCATCTGCAACCCTATAACCTTAAACCCTAGAAGCCCCAAAACCCTATAACCTCAAACCCTATATGCCCCCGGAACCCTATAACTCTAAACGCTATAATCCCAAAAATCTTGTGACCCTGTAACCCGGCAGCCCTTCATCCCTAGAACCCTCTAGATCCCTTAAAGAAACCCTTCAAGGATCCCTAAACCCCAAACCCTAAATCCCTTAAAGAATCCCCTACATCCTAAACCCTAAACCCTAAACCTTAAACCTTAAACCCTAAACCCTCAAGAAAGTGATAAATAGAAATTGCTTGTCCTTGTTTGTAATCACCGATGCGGCCCAACATACCGGTTAAAAACTGAACAAGCTTCTTCATAAACCAATTTCTCTCCACAAACTTGTCACCGCCGCTCCGGCCCGGCCAACATTGAGCTAGAGCGCGAAGAAGGAACAAACGTCTTGATAAACCAATTTCCGGAAAAAAAAAACCTTCAACCCAGCCAACCCAGCCCAGCCCAGCCCCAGCCCCCAGCCCCCAGCCCCAGCCCCCAACCCCAGCCCCAGCAAACTCAAAATGTGGTTTCAGTCAGAAAACCTGCTCAGAACGTTTCGCTCAAAACTTATTGGCCCAGCCACCCAAGCAGCCCCAGGCCCAGCCCCAGAGCCCCAGCCCCCCAGCAAATTTGAAAACACGGATCGCAAAAAAAAAACGTTCGATCAAAAACGTTCGTTCAAATCGTTTTTTGGACCCAAACCCTTAACAATTTCTGTAAACCCTAATCCTTTAAAGAATTCCCGTAAAGGATCCCTTAGAGACGGTGCCTTCTCCGAGCCGGGCAGCGCCTGCGGCGCTGGGAGCGGCCGACGCTGGCCCATGGCCTGCGGGACGGATCGAACATGGTAGTAACAGCAGTGGTGGTAGTAGTAGTAGTAGTAGTAGTAGTAGTAGGAGTAGCAGTAGTAGTAGTAGTAGTAGTAGTAGTAGTAGTAGTAGTAGTAGTAGTAGTAGTAGTAGTAGTAGTAGTAGTAGTGGTAGTGGTAGTGGTAGTAGTAGCAGTAGTAGCAGTAGTAGTAGTAGTAGTAGTAGTCGTCGTCATCGTGGTGTTGTAGCTGTGGTAGGCCGTGGTAGCAAGTTGCAGAAGTAGCAGCAGCTGCAGCAGTAGCGACAAAAAAGCAATACCGACTCCTCTAAGAAGAACGACCAGATCTGCAGAATTTGTTCTCCACGCGGGATGACCACGATAGCTTATGTATCAGACCACCTAAACACACAACGTGTGTTCCCGCCCTGCCCACTGATGTCAGCATCACAAAAGCTGCCTTTGGGCAGTCAGATGCACGTGCTTAAAGGGATAGCTGCAAAAGTTGAAGCTCACAGGGGAAAACCACAGCCTAAAGCAACAAGAGCAAGAATCAATCATAATAGCTCAACCCCTGGGATCAAGCCCCACGGAACCCCGCAACGCTAGACCAGATTCGAAAGCTTGAACCCCTGAAGCCCAAAACCTAAAGACTTCCAAACCCCTAAACTCCCATAAAACCCCCCATGAAATCCTAAACCCTGAGCCCTAAGCCACCAAAAAACTCATAAACCCCCCATGAAACCCTAAACCCTGAGCCTTAGCCCCAAAAAAACTCTGCAAGTTTCATTCATTTGCCGACCTCGAGAGCTTCTGCCTGCCAGGCAGCGAACCTGGGAGGGCTTAAGGTTCTGGGTTTAGGGTTTTAGGGTGTAGGGTTTAGGGTTTTAGGGTTTTAGGGTTTAGGGTTTAGGGTTTAGGGTTTAGGGTTTTAGGGTTTAGGGTTATAAGGTTATACTTGGAGGGGCAGGGGACTTAGTAAGCCGTTTATAAGTAGGGTTATAATTGGGGGAACTCCATTTAGGGTACTTATAACTCTACTTATAACCCACTTGCTAAGTCCCCTGCCCCGCCAAGTAGAAGTTATAGATTATAGAAGCCTCAATGATTAGTAGAATAAGGTTCCTTTTCAGGGCTCCGTTAAAGGTTCCTACTTGATCATTCGAGTAAGGGTTTGCTCTGTATTGCATAAACATACTTACTACGGAACCCTCAGGAATGATGTTGGTAATCTGGGTTGTAGTTTTGGGGCTCTGAAAAGTATTTATGAATAGGTACCTCTATAGGAACCATTAGGGAAACTAGCAAGTTTCCCTCATTGCCACATAGTAATTATTCCGGCCGACATTCCCGGTCTTCAAAGGTCTGGTGGCTTGTCTTTTGGGGGCCCTCAGCTGAGGCTTTGGGGGCTTTGGCTTGGTGGGGATCCGGGCTTCAAAGGGGCTTTTCGGGTTTAGGGTTTTAGGGTTTAGGGTTTAGGGTTTAGGGTTTTAGGGTTTAGGGTTTTAGGGTTTAGGGTTTAGGGTTTAGGGTTTAGGGTTTGTTTAGAGATTATGATTGCGGATCAGGGCTTAAAGGTTGGGGACCAGCGATTAGGGTTTCGGTAGTAGGGTTCAGGCGGACTTATTCGTTGGCTGTGGGAGCGCAGGGAGATGCAGTGCAACCAAAACCCGTCAAAGGTTCAGGGTTTTGGTTTTCCGGCTTCGGCATGGAAGCGATTTGTTCCAAAATCAGCATGCCAAACTGCTCCAACACACACCGTCATCAACCTCGCTCGGAGTATCTTTCGTTATACAGGGGTCTCAAGAGCTAGATTGGAGCTTTCCTTGAGGGGTTGTATGATACTGTGCGCATAATCAAGAAGCTCTGAGCCGCTACAGTAACCACCGAAACCTCAGAGAGCACGGAAGATTCGGGGTTTTGGGGGCCCGCATTCACTCCCTGGCTCTTAGCAGGGAATGGGGGAATGGATCCCTATTGTAGTCCCTATACAATCCCCAATCATAGTCCCCATAGCCCATTTCCCTACCAAGAACCAGACACTTTACGGCTTCGACTGCTCAGGTTCAGGGGTTTGGGTGTTAGGATTTACGGGGAATGAGGGAGTGGAAGGGCTCGGGGGTTCAGGGCTTATGTAAGATCCCTGAACTCAGTTGCCGAGTTCATCAGCCACCAAAAAAAACTTAAACTCTAGTTTTAAGAGGGTTTCATGATCTCAAAACGCTTATAGTTTATAAACTCAGCTACTAAACGAATCACAACTGCTCACCCGGAGGGCTCGGCGCAGTTGCAGCTCAGAAACTCCTCCACCTCTGGAACGCTGACTCCGAGAGTGCGGAGGTGGGCATCGGTGAAATGGTAAAGCTCCTCTGTAGGACTTGGATGTTTAGGGTTTAAGCTTGTAGGATTGTAAGGGACATGATACGATAGGGGGAGCCTTGTATCATGAAGGTTTGGGTTTGGGGTATCATGTGTGTCTGCTGCTGGTACTCTCCGATCACCCTGTGACCATTCCTATGCGGCGTGTATGACGACGCCGTGCATGACAGCTGTGGCGCACACGACACTTGTAGGGATGTCACACACAGGGAGTGGAGGGGTGTGAGGGGTGGCATCACGTGTTCCAAAATCTGCATATGTCAATATGCAATCCTTAGGGCCTTAAGGGAAGACACCAAAAGCAACCAAGAAGCCAATGCCGCAAAATCCAATAAAAGTTCCTGAAGCCTAAACCTTCAGTTCCTAAACTGCCTTTGAACCCTAAACCCTAAGATCCTAACCCGTAAGTGGGACCAAGCCCTATACTCACAGCCCGGAAATGAAGCTGAATGCCAAAGTTCCATGTCAACATCTGGCTTTGGGTGTTGAAGGCATGGGAATTCCCATGCCAGTGGAAACCAGGGGAGAGGGGTTTTAGGGTTTAGGGCTTTAGGTTTTAGGGTTCCAGCAGCAGCATCATTAGTGGTCGTCGTCAGCCTTGTCGTCAGCATGGGCAATCTCGCTTGCCTCTTCTTCCTCCTGCCCCTCGCAGTAGCAGCTGCGGAAGTCTTAATTAACATGACAAACTTCAGACAAACTTCCTGTTACTTTAAAGATAGCAACGTTGATGAATCCAAACACCCTCAGTCCTGCGTCTGGAAATCTTCGGAGTGCCTCATCTGCATGAGATTCCCGCGCCAAACTGCGTCGGCATCGCGAATCTCTCGACCAAGAACGAGATGGTCCTCTGCCACATCGGGTCTGGCTGTGGTTTGAGGCCTTTGGGGCTTAACTGCAGGGTTTAGGGCTTAGGGTTTACACTTTTTTTTAAGTTCTTATCATAAACCCTAATATGGAATTTAGAGGGACCGTACGAAAAAGTAGGTTTTGGTGGTTTAGGGTTTACGGCCCCCTGCAAGCAGAACCCCCAACGCACACGATCCACGCACCGGTCCTGGGAACTGGCATCTTCCACCTGCAGAAGGGGCCGAGTTCCAAATGCTTCCGGCCTGAGTGCCCTTGCCCAAAATACCTTTTCAACTCTCGTATTATGATTATATCAAAGCCCAAAGCGTTAAAGGTTACCTACTCAGCCCCTCAGAATCAGTAGACTAACTTTTTGCCTAGGTGGTAGAGCTTGTCTGATACTGACTTTGCAGGTACGGGTCGCAAAGGAAAATTGTAGGGGTTGCAATCATTAGTCATAATTCACCCTTATTGTCCCGAAGTGTAATGACCGTATAACATACCACCCCATCAGCAGCTCCATTAAGCCTATGAACCTCTTTCGGAACCATTTAAGGAACCCTGTTCTGATTCCTAAGGCCCTCATACTATGTCCACTGACCCCAAACATCAAGACCTCTCTTGGAATCGGTACATCCCAATCGTAACCCTGATATTGACGTATTCATCAGTGTTAAGTCCACTGATTCCCAAACCCTACCTGTGGCCCAAAGAACGGTTTAGGGTTTTGGGTTTTTTGATCAATGATAGCGGACCTTTTTCCAAAGCCTGTTAACCCTGACGGGCCCATTGAGTGAGACAGATCTGAGACAGCGCTTACAGCATATCTCAAACCAGACTTCGCCACTTCGGATCCCGTGCTGCCAGTCATTTTCGCATTTGCACATCACTTCCCAGCAGTTTCCCTTGCAAACCCTTTCACTTCCGTTGTCCCTGTCGATTCCTGTGTGGTTTCTCCCTCATTCTCCGTAACCAGCAGCTCATCCCCAGACTTGGGTTTAGGAGGTCCCTTACACGTTAGTCATCTTGGGCTGCAGATAACCTGAAAAACTCCAAACCCTTAACCCCTAAACCCTCAACACTTAACCCTTCCCCCTACCCTAAACCCTACCCGCTAAAACTCGTAAGGTTCTTAAAGGGCTCCTTAAAGGGATCTATAGGGTTCCTTAAAGGGATCCATAGGGTTTAGGGTTTAGGGTACTTCGGGTTTGGGATTTAGGGCTTAGTTCCCACAGCAGAGTCCGGCTCATGCCTCCGCGAGGCGGTCGATGCGAGTGACAATGTCCTGCTGCTTGGAGAGGCAGGGGACTTCATAACTAGGGTTATAAATAAGGTAACTCTGTTTATATTTCTTATAACCCCAATTAGGGTACTTATCTATACTTGGAGGGGCAGGGGACTTAGTAAGTCGCTTATAAGTAGAGTTATTAGTACCCTAAATGGAGTTACACCAATTATAACCCTACTTATAACCTACTTACTAAGTCCCTAAATGGAGTCACCCCAAGTATAACCCTACTCATAACCTACTTACTAAGTCCCCTGCCCCTCCAAGTACACCCTAAACCCTAAACCCCACAGATCCCTTTCAGGAACCCTATAGATCCCTTTAAGGAGCCCTTAAAGGAGCCCTTACTAAGCCCCCTGACCCTCCAAGTACACCGTGTTTCTTGGGGCTCTTCGGGCTTTGGGGCTTTGGGTTTGGGGCCTTCTGAGTCTTCGGTTTAGGGTTTAGGGTTTTAGGGTTTAGGGTTTTAGGGTTTAGGGTTTAGGGTTTAGGGTTTAGGGTGTAGGGTTTAGGGTTTAGGGTTTAGGTTTAGGGTGTAGGGTTTTAGGGTTTAGGGTTTAGGGTTTAGGGTTTAGGGTTTAGGGTTCTTCGGGTTCTAAGGGTTCTTAGGTGGGCTTTAGGGGTTTAAAATGTTAAACTTGTCTTACCCTCCAAGGGTTCTTAGGGTATGGGCTTTAGGGGTTGACATGTTTAAATTTGTTTTGCCCTCTAAGGGTTCTTAGGGTTTGGGCTTTAGGGGTTTAAAATTTTAAATTTGTTTTACCCTCTAAGGGTTCTTAGGGTATGGGCTTTAGGGGCTTAAATCTTTAATTTGTTCTTACCCTCTAAGGGTTCTTAGGGTTTGGGCTTTAGAGGTTTAAGATCTTCTGAGAAGCACTCGAGTTTCGCAACTCATCCCAAGGGTCTTACTCTTCAAATCCTGACTCGGAACAGAACCCAGAGCTTCACGTCGACTAAGGGTCCATGTGCCCATAGAATATATACTTTAGCCTTAAAGTCTGCACTACTTGGGCACATGGACCCTTAGGGAACAAAACAGGTGCTAAATGCCTTTAGGCTCAGCTTCAGAGGCTTGCAGGCCTGAGATTCCGAGGTTTTTGTGTATGTATGTGTCTGCAGATAAAGATTGCCTAGCCTTGTTAAGTAGGCATTGGGGTCCTACGGTTGATGATATATAAATCCTGCATTACCCATAATAAGGAATAGACCATAGTTCTGATAGTTTAGGGTCCTGAAGGTAATGCAGGATTTAAATCATGAACCCTAAACCCTAAGGATCTCTTAAAGGAATCCCCTAAAGGTACCCTTATAGATCCCTTTAAAGGAACCCTAGGATTTATATCATCAACCGTAGTAGGCATCCGAGTCCTAGGTCCTAGTTGTCCCTGTGAGCCGAAGGAGTACTTAGAGGATCATGGGACTTAGTAAGTAGGTTATAACTGGGGTTATAAGTCCCCTAAGTGGGGTTATCCTAATTATAACCTACTTATAACCTTACTTACTAAGTCCCATGAGCCTTCAAGTAGTGAGCTGTCATTGGCATGCAATGCACGTCGCGTCGGGGGCTGGTTACTACAGCCACATCCGGATGTGGTTTAGGGTTTAGGCATTAGGGTGCAGGGGTTAGGGTTTAGGGCTCAGGGTTTAGGGTTTAGCTGTCAGGATGCTGTTCATACGGCAGAGAACTTGAAAGAAATCAGCTACTGAGACGCTCGCCACGAGGCATCAAATCACCTCACCTGGAGCCTCAAATCGTCCATTCTTAGTAAATCCGTGGATCGTCGGGCACTCCTCCATCTTGCTCCGATGCAGCTCATCCGCACACAGATTTTTGAGCCTCGGAAGGGCTCTTGCTGCTCTCTACTTTGCGCCTATGCGTGCAAGTTGCTATCAGCTTCATGCTCAAGTTTCCCACGAGAACCTCGGATTTTGGTTCGACAGGTTGTCTGAATTACCAGGAACGAACACACCGAATCAAAGCAGCGCTTGGTGTTGGCACGATGCCTGTGAGGAGCCTTTGTGAGATAGAATCCTTTGCTACGCAGCTGAGGTGGTTTCTTTAGGATCGACAGAGGCTAACTTGTCCATAACGGCTGTCCATAAGGGCTGCGTATCCCAAAACGAAGTTTGCATCTTTTGCCTGGAGGCCCAAAACTCTCCGAAGTTTCCGTGAATCTCGAAGGTTCCAGGGCTTCTACAAGCCCCGGTTCAGGGTTTAGAGTTTACTGACTATAAGGGTCCTACAAGGGCATAAGCTCTGAGAGCCCTGTAATCGGAACCCGAGGGCTGACTTCCTTTAGGGTTTGAAGTTCTGTCTCTGGTGGCTTCAGGGTTTAGGGTTTAGGGTCATGTGGTGTATGGTTCTGCTGGGGTGGTTCCAGGGTAGGGGTCTTAGGTTGGGTTTTTGGTGGCTTCAGGGTTTTAGGATTCCAGATCTTTTGGACTTCCGTGGGACCCCTTGCAACCCTAACACGCAGAAGCCTGAATAAGGCTCCCTCTATCGGGGGCAATCGGAGGGTGGGGGGAGATGGAACGGGAAGGAGGAAGTGTGCAGGAGGGGAGAGGCTGTATTCATCAAGCTGGACCAGGAACTTGTTCTACCTATGGGTCTTGAATGGGTTTAGGGTTGAGGTATGGGTTGTTATGGTTTGGGTGCTACGGGGTGGTGTATGGTTAAAAAATGGAAATGGTCACTGCTAACTTCAACCCCTTACCCCTAAACCCCTAAACCTACACCCCTAACCCCTGAACCCCGAAACCCTAAACCCTAAACCTTATAGATCCCTTTTAAAAGTACCCTTATGACATATAGATCCCTTTACAGGTACTCTTATAACTTATAGATCCCTTTAAAAGAAAGCCCTAAACCCTAAACCCCCCCCCGCCCCCCAGAGACTCGCCTGGGAGAGGCAAAGGGGCAGAAGGGACCCACCGGCCTCGGCTTCACGGTTTCGGAGTTTTAGGATTTAGGGGCTTAAGGGGTTTAGGGGTTTAGAGGTTCCGTTCAGTGTCTGCACACCCAGTCATGGGTGGAAGGTTTAGGGAGTTTGGGGTCTCAGTAGAAGGGCTAGGGCCTCCTACCAGGGTTTGGGTTGGGGGAGCACCTTTGTGTGTGGAAGTTGTAACGGGTTCAGGGTCATGCCCTGAGGGCTTTCAAGTCTCAGGCTGAGGATTGCGTAAGGAGAGTTCTGAGGAGCCCCAAAACTAGTAATTAAGGTAATGTAGGAACCTGATGAAGAAATCTTGGGCCTTTACTAGGGTTCTTTAAATGAACCCTACTATTTTGGGGTTATGGGCCCAGGGTTTCTGAGTCAGGTTCCTACAGTAACCAAATAAGCTCTCTGGGTCTGCAGCTACGAAAGGCTGAAGCCAAGCGGCAGCAGCTCCTCTATCCTCAGAGAGGGGGCTGTAGTGCTGCAGGTTTCAACAGGTTTGAAAGGTGCTACAGGGTGCCTTGATAAGAAAAGTATTTGCAACCCTTTGGCTTTCTAGATTTGGGGCTTTCCCCCGAGGTAATTATCCAATGCATCCGGCTATGCAAAGACCACAACAGGATCCGTTAAAAGCTGCATTCCTACTCTGCTACCATGAGGTTAGCCATTGCCGATGAGTTGAAAATCCGAACTAAACAAACCCCAAAGTCTAAAACCTGAACCCTGAAACCGAAACCCTGCCCTGAACTCTAAACCCTGATGTCTGAACCCTAAACCCTAAACCTCCGTCCGAAAGCCGCCAAAGACAGCTGAAAGCGCCCACAGCCCACGGCAACATGAGAGGGTTTAGGGTTTAGTGTGACCAGCTTACTTGTGCAGTTTCCGAGGGGAACCGAAAGCTAACATGCGGGATCATATAGGGATCATATCGTACCCGAAAAAGCGAAAGTTGCTTACTCTACCGAGTAGCAAACCGATCAGTCAAAATCCCTAAGCCTTGGATGCCCTTTCAGCCACAGAGACCTTAAACCCTCCTTGTTAAAAGGAACCCCCTGGAAAAGAAAGGAACCCTAAACCCGAAACTCCTAAAAGAAACCCTCTTAAAGAAGCCCGAAAACCCTAAACCCTTACCCCCTCGATATAATCCCCCGTAAATAATAAGGGGAGCTCTTAAAGATCCCTTAAAGGAGCCCGTAAAGGAACCCTTATAGATCCCTTAAAGGAGCCCTGAAAAGAAATCCCTTAAAGGAGCCCTTAAAGGAACCTAAACCCCGTAACCCTGAAACCCCTGAAGCCCTAAACCCCTAAACCCCTCAGCCCTTAGCTCCTTTAAGTAGACCCTAAAACCCTAAACCCCACAGATCCCTTTAGGGAACCCTATAGATCCCTTGAAGGAGCCCTTAAAGGGAAATCCCTTAAATGAAATCCCTTAAACTCTTAAAGTCTTGAACCTAATAGATCCCTTAAACGAAATCCCATAAAAGCAAATCCCTTAAAGGAACCCTTAAAGGCATGAAGCCCTAAACCCCTAAACCTCTCAGCCCTTACTAAAGGGAACCTTATAGATCCCTTAAAGGAGCCCTTAAAAGGAGCCCGGGGCTCGGCGCCGGCTCCGGCGCCTCGGCCGCGGCCGCCCGCCGGGGACCCAGG